CGGGAGAAGAAACATATTATGTATAATGAAGACTTATGAACGTAGTTAACGCAGAAAACGTAGCATAGTCGGATTATTCGCGGAAAAATGCACGACTTTAATTTAATAAGAAAATACTGCTGGAATTAATGCTCATATTCTTGTCTTCGGGTAGACCTCTATTAACGTGCAGCAGTCACGTTTTTACAGAATATCTCGAATCCGCCGGCTGCTCTTTATATATCGATATCAACGACTGATGAAAAAAGTTGCTACCGCTTTAATAGCGAGACGTTCCAACCGCGACTTTATTCAAAATATAAATTAAAAGTGAATTAAAGAAACGTAAGGAACAGTAACTTGTACGAATTTTTACTAATTTCGAACTTAATGCTTTAAACACAAATCACTTCAAGCATTGAAATTCGTAACATTATGAATTCAGTTAGAAAATTGTTTCAGATAAGCTAACCGATATTTACAGAATTCGTATATTAGTGCTTAAAATATCCACAGATGCGGATGTCACCATAATTTGCTCTTGAAATCTTGGAAACGCAACACGTTCGTGTAGCGCCGTTTTAATAAAGAGCGCTTATTTAACGAGCCCTCTTGTATGTGTCACTCGTAATAAAAAGTAACCAAATTAGCTCACTGCGTAACACATGCATATATGTATGCGCTCTCTGTATGAGAGATGAAGAGTCACCTGAATATATATCGTATGAAATTCTGTGTTATTTCTAAAAACTTCATTATATTTTATTAATGGCAAATTAACGCGACATACTTGGCGCGACGAGATACCCGTTTCGGCGCGAATGTTATAGCGATAATTGTGATAATTTAAAGACAAATATTATAATTGTTACGGAAACGTTATTATTCCTTTCGTTAACACGCCAATTTTATTTAAACGGCATAAATACGTTACTTACATAGTAATTACTAATTTAATTATTTACATAGAATTCTATTACATAGATTTTGTAATTATTGTAAAAATATATTAATTTAATGCAATTTAAACTTTTCTACAAAATATCATATCTCCAGTTTGGTAGCAATTTTTATATTGCATATAGAACATGAAGCCAAAAAATATATGAACTTTTATAACATTAAATTATAATATATTTTACAAATTTTTATTGCAAGTGTTAATTGAATTTTTTATATGGTTTTTATATTAAAAAATCTCTCGCCCGAGACTTTGCTTCTGAAGTTAAGTCGATAAAAATGTTACTGTATTATAATTTTTAGGGACCGATCAATGTTTCTAATATTTGTATGACGTGTTATTTACAACCACATATAGTGTGAAGTATCACATACTGTTTTTTTCGCGGTTCACTATTGCGTGGTAAATGTTTGCCACAGCACTTAGTCTAAGTGGAAATGTTTGCTTTTATTCACCGCGGCTTTGAATGGGGAAATAGAAGCCCACATACAATACATTCTGTTCAGACAGTGCATTGTTCGCACGTTAGTGTGACGTTAATCCAAATCGTTCACTATCGAGTCCAATAAACGTTTCTGCTATAAACTTTGGTTCTAATCTTATGTGTTGTCAACTGGAATAGGACTTTGACTATCTATACCAGCCACTGTTGCGGAATAAATAAGTAACTCGATGTAGGCAGTCAACTATGACTGCGCACGACAGAAACGTATTCCGGAAAATTCTACCGACAGAGACAAAGAGAGAAAAATGATACTCATAATATAAAATAACATATAGATATATATGTAATATATTAAAAAATCACAAATAAACCGTTAATAATACCGTTAATAATGAATATTATTAATAAATATGACATGTTTTGTTACATAAAAAATTAAACAATTAAATATAAAATTCTACTTCGGTTATTTGCAAATTAAGAATTATTAATGTTCAACATTGAAAACAAATAATAATCTCCTAAATTTGATCAGCTTTGCATACATGTCCCGTTTATTTTATTATATATTTGATTATGTAGAATCAATAACCAATATACATTACAGTCAACTTTATCCAATAAATTCCGATTTATAACAAAATCATTAATTAAACTTCCGTCGCGACTGCCGTAAAAATAATATTTATTTTAAAGTTTTTCGCTCGATATTTTATAAACAAGTTTCCGATCTATCCGTACATTGTGGCTATATTTTGGCCGCATATTAAATTGCAAATCGGGTTACTTGGGCATTATCGTTCAACTTATTAAGTATCCTCGATACGTGAAAACTTTTGGCTCCAAGAACTCCGGAGTCCCCGAAGAAAACTGTTATTAGATATCAAACTTGTATACCGCGTCGCGCAAGCTGCTGGACTCAAGGATATTTACAAAGTCTAAATATCTTCTGAAGGACCCTCTCCATGTACCTACATGTGTGTAGAATAAACGTCCGAAAAATTTTTAACGTTTCGCTATTAGTAAGCCGCACTCTCCCTTTATGCTCACGAGCAATTCTGGCCAAATAAACAAGCAAACTTCCCGCCTAATCCTAATCCGGCAAACTTTTTTCATTTCGCATGGCAATTCCTGTAATGCTTGTCGTAACAAAGGTTATGTTAGATTGGTAAAACACGGCCGCGTGTTGTAAAGTACAGGGATATATCGAATTGTTCATTGAACTTTTGCGCACTGTCGATATTTTATATTGACGAACAAAATAATCGACGCAACGGGGAAACATAAATTGTTGGCTAAAGCGTATTAAGCAACACTCTATGCATACTTTAGACATACTCTTAAACGGCAACACAGTGTAAGCTCGATCAAGTTGCAAACGCGCATTATGTAGTGCAGAATGCATAAATTATACGCTAAAGTAAACTAGATCGTCTGAACATGGCCTAGGATATGGGGATGACGAAGTGACGTTCATTAAACCTGCAGTTAGAACAATTAATTGACAGAGAGTTCCGCAAGCCCAGTGGGACGTTATCACCGCGAGCGAGCGAAATAGCATTTCACATTGAAAATGAAGAATTCTTACAAGCTACTTCTCAAATTAGCAGTAGCATCCATATGAAACAACATTTTACCCACATATATTAATCTAAATATTGCCTACATCCTTATATCTAAATTTTAATTAACGTAAAAGCTATTCCATGCAAATTAATTCTGCTGCTCGGATTACATTTTTATAATTATATATTTTAAATTATTAAATTTGAAGCTTTAGATTTTAATCAATTATATCAGCATATAAATTTATAGTGTTCTATTAACGTTAATATTAATGATATAACATTTCTGAATTGAATAATTCGTTTGTTTACGTAATTGTAAATTAGATAGCTACAGTGACTAGTTCTTTTCTAGTTATACAGTAATTAGAAAAGCTAATTATTATAAATTAATTCAAATAGGTGACACATTATTATGCTAATAATCAAAGAGGAATATTCTAAAACGGTAATTTCAACTGCGATATTGTTTTGACTATTTATGTCATTTACGCTATTTAGATTCGTGTTGTGTCAGAATATCTAATCGTATAATATTTCTGATTGAAAATTTTATTGCAATTAACAATTCGACACAACATATCATTTAGAAATTTAGATGATCGCTTTTGCGTGTTACACTTTTGTCAGAGAGAAATGTGTCATCGCCTTGATCTAACAGCGGCAATATTTGATCAAGATTAGCCATTGTAATATTAATTATATTGTATATCAATTAATATACAGGATGATTCTCTAGTAACTAGCGCTATAGTTATTTTTAAATCGAGATAGGAGAAAGTGGTACAGAAAAATCTTTCACCCTTTAATATGACCTATCATTCCGTGATTGTATTTTTCCGACTCATCGATACACTTGCAAGATACATTGCACTTGTTCAAGAATCATATTTACTTTTTTTAGCGTTCACCGACTCTCTTTTCATTATTTCGCGCGTAAAAATATTAGGGTAATGTAATCGGACGGATATTTTCTTATGGAAGTTTGTGTATCCTACATAATATTATTACAATGTTTTATTCAGTTTGCATTCTAGAAAGAATTGCGATACATTTCTCATCCTTATCTCTCTTTATTCGCATTATTCTGCCTTGCGTGGTTAAGAGTATCTTGATCGAGTATCAGAGAAAAGCCCACAAAATACGATATTTGTGACAGTTTAGCTCCCCTGCTCCACGCAAACTGTGTCGTTACGGAGGCGGTGCCGCGGTAAAGGGGAAAAATTGTGCTCTGGCAAGCATACCGAAAACCATCTCAATCGGAAATGTAAGGATAACGAATCGGCGATACAGTACGCGCGACCATTGTGCCTGCCAAGAATCGCGGAACTATATTCACCTGAAGACCATGAAAAGCCGTTTTCTGGCTATAAGATACTTTCCACTGGCGAAATTGTTTTTCTGATCGATATTCTATACAAAGCTACTGCTCCTTTGGAAGAATAATAATGAAATTCACGAGGTACGACACATTTGGACAATTCACATTCAAAGATTTATTTGAAATCCACCTCTAGATTGAAAGTCTCTCTCTCTCTGCTCGGTCGCGCGATTTTTATCTTGTCTAAAAGTATGTAGGTTGAGTCAAAAGAATATTTATTTCGAAATATTTCTATGATCGATCTTGGTGAATAGTAACGGTAGAATTTAATTAATTTATGGTCAATAATCTTCAATGGATCACAGAATTATATGAGACATACATAGATTCATCTTTCAAAATGTATCAAAGACTCGAAGTAAAAATACACAAATAAAAACATAAACCACGTAAGAGTTATCGTTTGCAATATCTAAACGAAATTCTTACAACCGCTACATTGCGTTGTCCCAAAATAATGTAAATGAACGAAAAGGGTGCTTTCTATAGAAAGGGAGGGTTGCACAATCGCTTGTCTTCCCCTGTCGCGTGGGCTTCCCTCAATTTTTCTCATCTCGCTGTTATGCGCCACTGGGCGCCTTTCAATTTATTTTACGACTGTCACTGTCCCAGTCGCGCGAGGACACGGTAAGTCTTGCGAAATAAGGAGTCACATTCGATGGCTCTTACCTCGTTTGCCGGCCCGCGCAACGATTGCACAAATCGCCAATACGACGGTGAGGGCGACGTTGATATGCAGTGGATAGCGCCGCATCTCCGAAACGAGAAGGGGCCAGTCGCTACGTGCTATCCGTACGCTTCCTCCTCATGCCCCTCCTTCGCAGTTCTTTGCCAGACGAGCCGGGGATTCGAAAATTACCGGCTCGAGTAACAGGCGGCGCACTCACAAGAGATCAGAGTACTCTTATCTCACCGTGTATTACCCTCTTCAAGTTGCGTCCAATATTTCACCGTCGCGAACGCGCCCCTCTTAGCCTCGCGTTCCGTCACTCCTCTCGCGTTTCTTTCTCGCGGAACTCGCGATCCATCGTCTTCGGCTCACCATCCGTTTTCGTATCCGTAACGCGCGTCCGCTCGATCGCGCGACAAGATCGGCAAAAATGCGCGCGCGGCTCGGCGTCGTCTACCTAGGACACGGCGAACGGTGCGCGTCGAATAAAGGGAAGAGGGTCAAAGAGGCAGGCGCGCTTCTCGCGTCGTCTCGCGCGCCGGCAACTCTCGGCGAGCCGATCCGCGGCAGCTCTCCGCGATCGCGAGTGACAGGAGTGCGCCGCTCGGCATCGTGGCCGACCGGTAGCTCGCGCTCGCTCGTCGGTCCATCGACCGCGAGATCCGACGAGAGATCGATCCGGCGTGCGACGAGTATCCCGGCGTCAAATGTGTGTCGCGATGCTGCAGGTTTTTCGAAATCGTTCATCGGTAACATATGTTCGTCTCGGCCGCCGATTGAGTCCTTGAGAAAACGAAGACTCTTTGCTCGCACTATAAAGTGACACTCGATTGAATTCCTTTCTTTCTCGGTCTGAGTTAAAGTAGAAATACAATGTGTGAGAACCCACGGTCGGGTAAAACTTAGCCGGTGCAATTTAGCCTCTAATCATGAAAGTCCTTTGCTTCTTATAGAAAATAGCCTTTAGAGGCAAATAAAGCTCCATGTCTCCTCGCACATGCCGCACCGGCGAGAGGGTCAAATTGATACTTGTCAATAAAGTTCGATTAACGTGCCTCAGGTTCGATACATAGTCACGCGACTACGCGGGCGCATGTCTGAATTCTCGTTTTTCTCCCGTCTCGGAGGAGCCTGTCGCGGCCCTTCTTTTTCCCTATAAATCACCGTCTTCGCTCCTCCCGTGCCCTCCGTATAATCAGAGCTTTCTCTCAAAGCGAGGGGGAGAGCCGGCGTTTACCGAAAATTCGTTATCCGTAGACGGAGCACCGCGGTACGGCAACTTCAAAGCCGCCCGTTCTTCACTGCACCTGGTGAACGTGAATATTTACACGCGTGTGTCGGAACACACGAGCGACGCGCGACAATCAAGATTGGTCCCCCGACAAGACAAACTCCTGCGCCCCATGTAACTCGTCGTTAATCGGAAAGATATCGCGCGGCAACTTCGTCGCGACACTTTTCTCCCGAGCTCGATTAATCGGTTCCGAGGCGGAGCACAAGAAGCGCGCGTTCTCTCTCTTTCTCTCTCTCTATCTCTCTTCTCCTCCTTCACGTTCCTCACTCACTTCCCCCTTTGATCGTACACATTTTTCGAATTCCGGATTAAATCCCTCGATCCTTCAATCCCTGCCAATTTGGTAGCAGGCACGTTTCCGCCGAACGTGTATTGTCCGCGGTCGCCGCCGGTGGTTCGATCACTCAGGAGCTCGTCGATATCCGCTTGGATCGCGCGATCGCATCGACGGGATCACCGGCCGTCCGTCGATTTTTCGCCACGATAAAGCGCGTCATCGCCGCGAGAATTCCACCTGTCGTCGCGATCGGCCGTCACACGGTCCACACGCACGGTACCGATCACCACGAGGAACGATGGGAGGATGAAGGGAGCCTGGCGTAACGCGGATCCGACAGGGATACTGGCGCGCGTACGGGCGGACGCGGGCGCAGTGGCGCGAGCGTACCGTCGGGCCCGCCACGTCCTCTCTCCGTTCGCTTTCGGTGCGCCGAGCTGCGGCGACGCCAGCCGTGCTAGCCCGAATGATCGCATCCGCGCCCGCTAAACGTCGCACGGCGACCCGGTGGGCGCAGCCACCGCCGTCGCGCACACAGTGCGAAATTCACCCAATCTAGATATATCCCGCCCGCGATAAATAAAGGCACGACATTTAATTCTACACGGTGCCCGGCGCAGGCGAGAGTCTCCGTAAACGAAACCTTACCGGTCTCCCTTTTGCCATATCGGACGAACAATGAGTAGAGGTGCACGTTAACGTAAGAGGGAAATGCGGTTTATAACCGACGATTTACAGCGGGATTCTTTTGTCACTATGCAAAAAAAAAGTGTCAGATCAACTCTTATATACTCGAAGTAACGCGTTCATGGTTTTGTTCTTAGGACCATTTAATAATCTTACATTCCAGCAATATTACAGTCTTATTTAAATACCACAATTGTCACTTCGAGTATACATATAATTACTTTGACAATAAGAATATTCTTTTTTTTCTGTGAAGATTGACAATACGACATACTTTGTGTTCTCTTTCATTTTCTGTTGCGATACAAACTACCCAGAGAACATACATGCCTTAACCCTTTGCACTCCGAATTATATTTCATCTGTTTTCATCTATTGGTTTGGACTTGAAAAAATGTCGAGTGAGACTCAACAAAGAAGCTCCTGAGATAAAAACTGATGTCGAGTC